GCGATTATTGTTACGGAACATTAAAACCCGTTACAAAAAGACCTTTTTTGATAGTGGTTGATAGGTGTTAATTATAAAATTATATTACATAATTAATAATTAAATATTTAATGACATAATTAAATATTAAATTAACACATCAGCACATGATCCACTTTGGTATATATAAGCATCTAGATTATTGTCATATATTACAATTATATATACGTCAATACAAATCTTTTGTTGCTGATTTATATTTTATGCGTTGTCTATCTATATTTAAGGTGTTGCTCGTGCTATACTAATAATTTTGTTCAGTACATATGAGTTTGTTCCTTTTGACTTTTTCTCTACATGTTTTTTTAAAATTATTAATAAACTATAAATATTTATTATTTTTATATTTTCTGCACAATTTTCTATATCCTAAAAAAAATTTTACTTTCTAACAATCTCACAAAATAAACACATCTAATTTCCATATATATTGAGGAAAAGAAAAACGGGGAAAAATTATGATGAAAAAAAGAATAAGATCAAGAGATATGATGATGAACCACGAAGAAATCTCTTCTTGTTATTTTTAATGTAGTGGAAAGGTATTTTGTATTGAGTTATGAACTAGCTAGGATATATGTGTGGATTACATATATATTTGAATAAATCAAAATGATACAAAACTTGTCTATATATATTGTGCTGTTAGGCGTCTACTTTTTTTTTTTTTTTTTTTTATTATGACGTAGAAATCCGCAACTGCTACTATTAAAATGCGCTCCGGGTAAATTCTCGGTCTATCCTTAAATCTCCCATATTAAGTATACATATAAAGTTTTTGGTTCTATTTAGTTGGAGTTTTGTTTAGATTTTTCTTTATTATATAGTAATTATGTTTATTTGTTTTTTATTTTTTGGTGTTTTGTAAAAAATATTCTCCCCGTTCCATATAAAGTAATACATTTGATTAGCGACATAATAATTTAAATGAGTAGAGTATTAAGTATAATGATTTGAGAATTAAATGATGTAATAAGAGAGAAAAATATGTATATTTTATTTATTTATTTTTTGTGATATAATGAGATGAATTGTACTCCCTTAGTCTCACATATAATACCACATTTTCTACTTTTTGTCATTCTCCAATCTTATGTCACTTTTCTTTATTTAAAATTTTTAATTTTCAAAATTTTAAATTTTAAATTATACTAATTAGTTATTTTAACTTTAATTTATAATTATTTTTACTAATACATTCTTAATTTATTTACTAAACATACTCCTTTTGAATTTCGTGTCTATAGTAACCCTAACATTATATCAAGGACAAAGAGAGTAGTATATATGTATTAATGAGTTAATTATTTTCTATTTTGAAAATATTGCAAGTATGTGGGACAATTAAAAAAAAATATTGCAAGATATATGAGACAGAGAGAATATATTATTTCTAATATATAATTAGATCTTAATTTAGGATGTGTTTGTTTGGGGGATTGGATTGAATTTACATTATTCATCCAATTTTTTTCCCCAAAAACATCAAATCAAACACCTATTTTTCATTTTTATATTATACTAAAAATCAATTTTACATTCAAAACATCACATCAACACTTATTTATATCACATCATACAACTATTCAAATTCAAAAATTTTTACTATTCAAATCCTAACTCAAAATCCAAACCCCCAAACAAATAGAAACATAATAAATTATTGATTTGCACATAATTCCGATGTTTGTTCGTTTGAGGGTTGTGGATTTGAATAATAATTATAATTAATTTTGTTTGTATAATTTTAAATGATGGTTAGTACGAGATTAAAATCGAACTCTAATATATATATATATGTATGTATGTATGTATATATATATATATATATAGAACCATGCACATATGCTCATGGAATTATCAACATAAACTAGGGTTTAGTTTAATTTCATCCATTCACATTAGTATATTTTAAAGCTAAGCGATAGTCGATATTTTGTGAAATTGAAGATTTTAAAGATAAAGAATAAACCCTACTTACACTAGAACTTTCACAAAACAAGTATATATATATATATATATATATATAAAAGCATCTATATGTATTAATTGTGTGAGTGTGTGATAAAGAGAATAATAACAAAACATGGGGTTGATTAATTCGATATACTATTCTCGAATACACATATAAATATAATTAAATTCAATGGCTTTACATGCATGCTTAAGACATACATATATATCTATATCTATATATATATATATATGCATGTGTGTACATGAGTGTGTGTCCGTGTACGACAGAGACATCTCGTGGAATTTTTGTTCCAAGAGAATGTGAGAAATCAAGTGTCGAACAAGAGCATGATGTTGATTTGACCGAATCAACATATGCGGTAGGAATGACCAACATATATTTACACATATTTCAATATATATTATATTATAACTCAGCATATATGCTACTTTATAACACAACATATGCTGAGATATGTATACACATATGGTGGTCACCCCACTAGCATATGCTGATCTGGTTAAATCAATACCATGCTGACTTCTCCGGATCAACACGGGTTGCAACCCGTCGAATAAATATTTAACTTTGAAAATTAAATATTTCATCTTTTCTTAAATCAAAATTAGGATAGTAAAAAATAGATGAGTTAATTTGTAAAATGTAATTATAAGTATCACATCATTTAATGAAGTACTGAACCGAGTTGTGGGCTTTGAGATTGGGTATCAAATCTAGACATTGAGTTCACCGATCGAATACAAAAATAAATAAATAAATAAAATATTTACCTATTTTGAATAGATAGACTTTACCATCATTATTTACTCATTCCGTCTCACTTAATTTATTTACTCTTTTCATATTCATTCGTCTCATATAAATTGTCTATTTTTTCTTGAAAATATAATTATACATTTAATTATATTTTAAAATTAATAATTTATAATTTTTTTATTTAATTAAGCTATTTAGTTATCTTAATATTAATTTATAATTATTTTTTATTATATTATAATTATTTTTACTAATACACTTCTTAATTACGTACTAATTACATAATACCTAAAACTCCATAGCTCAAATTAAAGTGGACAAATTAACTAGGATGAGTAAGTATTTTGTTGCCTTAATTATAGTTGATTCCTTAATGAACTATAATAGGCTGCTGATTTGATAAAAAAAAATTAACACATGTTGAAATTAATTTTACCCTTAATTTAAATCTAAATAATTGTTTTTGGGGCGCCTACGATGCTGAATTTTAATGATGACAACACATTGCAGCACATTATGTGCTATCAAACAACACACAGTGTTACTACAAACAGAACACTGTATGCATTGATATAATACAAATACAACACATGAACTAACAACAAATGTTATAGTCTTACACAACACAAATAATAGTTGATTTCAGCACACCACATATTTTCATACATCACACTTGTAATTATGAATCAGTAAAACAAATACAACGTATGAACTAACAACACATATTATAGTCTTATACAATATAAATAATAGTTGATTTCAGTACACCACGTACTGTTATACAACACACTTATAATTATAAATCAACAACACATGTCTTTACTATACAACATGTGTTGTGCATAATAAGATTGTGTGTTGTCTATATATATTACGGGTGCTGATTTGAAAACCGTCCTGAAATTTCAAAATCAGCACCCTAACCGTTCCCTTGCTTTTGCTTTTATTTTTTTATTTTTAATTGCAATTCAGAAAGTTTTTCTTATTTGATTTAGTGAAATAGCCCATAAATAATTTAGTTAGTATTTGGTGTGTTTCTTTTCATGAATTTGGAAAAAAATTAGTTTGAATTTGGTATAAAAATAATGTTTGATGGGACGTTTTGTGAGAGAAAAAAATATATTTTTTTCAAAAAACACAGAGTTCAAATAGTCAAATTTAAAAAAATTTTACTAAAGAAATATACATTTTATGGGACTTTTAAACCGTAAATTTATCCCTTTTTATTGTTATACTTAATTTTAAAAATAAATAATTTTAATTTAGATATAAATATATATGTTTTATTTTATTTCATTTTATTTATACGGTAGAAAAAGAAAGCATTATGCGGACATGGAGAACCCCAAAGTAGTATTTCTTCATTGCCGGTGCTCTAATAAGTATACGACCAAAAAAAAAAAAAGTACTATTGTCAAACGAAGACACAGACGTATTTAATTTGTTTGATATTTTTTGAACTTTAGAGATTATTAATTTGTACTAATTTTCTAAAAAATATTATTAAATATATTTTTTATCTTACAAAATTTCACATTTGTTCGATGAAAATAGTCCCTAAATAAAAATTTTTCTCTGAAATGGTTATTTGGTTATGGACTCGCCAAACTGGCCCGCTGTTGCTGATGTGGCGCTGAAGCGGCTAACAATCATCGCCACATAGATTTCACGTCAGAGAAATGTGAAATTATTTTTTATTTTTTATTTTATAAAATGTCTTGGTAAAATATTTTTTAGTTCCGTATATGACCTCTTTTATCATTTTTAGGTCATTTAAATGAACTTTGTTTCAAAATAGTCATGCAAGTAAATTTTTTCCAGCTAAAATGATCATCCGACGTGACAATGATATATCAGTCGCGTCAGTGTCACGTCAGCAACGACTGCCAGTGTGGCGAGTCCAGCACCAGAGGATCATTTTAGCAAAATATTTTTACTTACGGAACTATTTTCAGACGAAGTTCACTTAGAGTCCTAAAATGATAAAAGGGTCAGACACGAGACTTAAAAAACAATTTATCCTATTTTAAATGAAAAATTAATTTTTAATATAATATAAAAAATAAAAAATAAAAAATAAATATTTGATTTAATATTATAAAAAAAATGAATAAATAATAAAAATCTTACAAAATCGTCCAAGCAAACACGCAACTTTTGATTAGATTCCAAGAAATAAATATATAACCCTAGGTTGCTAATACACTAGAGCAAACCCTAAACCTATTCGACCATTCAAAATTAACATGATAGAATGGGGCGACATTTACAATGTCGTGGTGGCGATCGCGCCGCTGTATACGGCGCTGATTTTAGGGTACGCCGCCGTACGGTGGTGGCGCGTCTTCGATCCGCCGCAATGCGAAGCCATTAACAAAATGGTCTGCTATTTCACTTACCCTCTTTTCGTCCTCGAATTCGCCGCCCACGTCGACCCTTTCAGAATGAACTTCCTCTTCATCGCCGCCGACGTCGCCTCCAAGGTCATCATCGCCGCCGTCCTCGCCTTATGGGCCAAGTTCCGCGGCGGCGGCGGAGGGTGGTGCTGGTTCATCACCGGATTTTCTCTCTCTACGCTCACAAATTCTCTCGTCGTCGGCGTCCCTCTCCTCAGGGCTATGTACGGCGCCGCCGCCGTCGACCTGGTGGTGCAGTCGTCGGTCTTCCAGGCGTTGGTGTGGCTCACTATTCTTCTGTTTGTCTTGGAGCTCCGGCGGACCAGCGGCGGCGGCGCCGCCGCCGCAGAAAATGGTGGTGATTATGACGATGACGATGAGAATGATTCAACGGCAGAGGACGAAGAGGATTGCCGGAGTAAATCCGGTGGAGAAGATGATCCACAAAAAAATCCGGCGGCAGCGACGGCGGCCGGCGTTAGGGTTTCGTTTTGGTACTTGATGAAGGAGGTTTGTGTGAAAATGGGGAAGAATCCGAATTCCTACGCCTGTTTGTTTGGGATCCTTTGGGCATTCTTGTCAAATAGGTAAGTCAACTTTTGTTTGATAATTTCAACTGTTACATAAATAAATACTCATTTAACATTTTAAATATATAATTATTTTTTAATATAATAATAATAAAAAAAAAAGTAAATAATACTTTCTCCGTCCCACATGATTTGTCCCTATTTTCTATTTTCGCCAGTCCTACATAATTTATCCTTTAATCATATTTTAAATTTTAAAATTTAAATTTTTTTAGTTTTAATTAAACTATTTAGTTATTTTAATCTTAATTTATAATTAATTTTTTACTATATAATAATTATTTTTACTAATAAATTTTTTAATTACTTATTAATTATATTTTATCTAAATTCTTATATCTATACGCGCATATTCTTGATATGAAAAATCCTTCCAAAACTCAGACAAAACACACCCTACATTTGAATAATAGATATTCTTGATTTATTTAAATAGTTTTAAAGTTATTAAATCAACTATTAATTTATTAATGTCTGAATATTAAATAAATAATTAAATAATTATTCAGGTGGCATTTTGGAATGCCAAGTTTAATGGAAGGATCCATTTTGATCATGTCCAGGGCTGCCACTGGAACTGCTATGTTTAGCATGGGTAAGTTATTTAGCTAATTAAATTGTTCCTAAATTCAATTTGATTCGATTTGATTTAAGCTCGTTCGTAAATATAAACGTTAAACAATATAAAAATACACTTGTTTTTATTTACAAACGAATTTGAATTTTGTTCGCAAATATTCGTTAAAATGATATATTTTCAAAGAATGTATGAAATTAAAAATTTTAAAATAAAATAAAATATCGTATGTATATGAATTAAAAATAAAATAAAATAGTAATAATCTTTTCTTGGTTTAATGAAAAAAAGGTCAAGCAAATAAGTTTGAACGAATTGAATACGAACACCACGAGATCATACAATAAAATTGCTTAATGAGTTGAGCTCGAAAACTACAAACAAATTCTAATTTTTAACGAATGAATACGAGTCTTATTCATTAAGCTTAAACAAACAACTATAAACACTTCAAATTCTGTTCAATTCGACTCATTTACAATTATTATAATTTTATGTTATGTTATTTATAAAATACGTAAATTTTATATTTCTTTTTATCACATTTGATGTTTAGTTTTATTTAAAGTATTATATTAAAGTTTTATTTATTTTTTTAAAAAATATTTATATCCTGTTTATTGCACATTATTCAATTTTTTATTAGTATTATTTTTTTTTTCTATTTGAATTGAAATCATATATCTGACATTGAAATATAATTTCATTCTTTTTGTATTTTACTATCTCTGACATAATTGAATGATGAAACTAATATTTGATGTGATATAAATGAATATTAATGTAATATTTGAATTTAAAATGATTTTTAATGTAATATAAAAATAATAAATAAAATTTTAGCTTAATACACTATCTTTTAGGATTTTTTTTTTTTTTTTTTTAATGGATAGTAAAAACTCGAATAAAAATTTACATACAAATAAAGTCAAGTTGTATAATTTTAGTATTTTAGAATCGATAATTTTTGTTGTTAGTTATTATTCCTTCCGTATGCCAAAATGATATCAATATTCTTTTTCTTTTTTTGTCCGCCACATTCTAATTTGTAGTAAAACATTTTATCCAACTATAATTTTATTACTATATTCTAAAAAATTATAGTATCAATTTTTTCATTATTTTTTAATTTACTATATATTTTTTATTAACTCATTAATAAATTTTCTATAGCACCTGACTATACTTTTTGCATATTCCATTTATATAAATTCATTATTTCTTAATTTTTGTGTTCAATTTTTAAAATGATGACTTTTTTTTTTTTTTTTTTTATCGGAAATTATTTCATGTAAAAAAGAAGTATAAGTAAAGGTAGTTTACAATGGACAAATCATTGCAATAAATTCACTTTATTTGTTAATTTTGCTAAAATTACTAATAAGATAAATTTAGCGGATATATTAAAAAAAAAACTAAGAATAAATTTGACAGACCATAATAGTATTATCTATTAAATATTAATCATTTATTTGTGTTTTAAAACCAAATAATTCCCAAGAGTCTTTTCTCATTAAATATTATCACATCCGTCGTCCAATTGTATGGTCATTTTACCGGACACAAATTTTTAAAAAATAAATAAATATATATTTTTTTTTACTAAAAATGAAACTTGAACAAATTTAGATAACTAACAACAAAAAAAAAAGAATGCGAAAATAAATTTGAACATTAAAAAAGAAATAATAAAATTATTTTTTATTTAAAACATTATATAAAAACATATTATTTATTTAATACTATTTTATCAAATATTTATTTTATTTTAAATTTTGTATTATACTATACAATAAGTTAAAGTATAAGCATGTACTTATTTGATGGGTTTTTTTTTTAATTAAATATTATACTATATTTTATAAAAATAACGAAAATAAATAAATAAATAATAATAATAATAATAATAATATTAATGAATGCAGGGTTGTTCATGGCATTGCAAGAAAAAGTGATAGCCTGTGGAGCAAGTCTCACAGTAGTTGGATTAGCACTTAAATTTATTCTGGGCCCACTCGCCATGGCCATTGCTTCTCTAGCCGTTGGATTGCACGGCGACGTCCTACGTGTCGCAATCATACAGGTGCACTTTCATTAATTTATCACACATTTTATATATATATATATTTATTTATTTATTAGCATATAAATCAAACGACTGTTTTTTTTTTTTTTTTTTCTAACACAGATTTTTATTATTCATATTTTTTTGAAAAAGAAATATCAAATTAAATATTTTTTTTTATATTATATTTTAAATTTATTTATATTCAAAATATTTCATCAACTTTTATTTATATAATATGAAACAACTATTCAATCTTAGATTATTACTATTAAAAAATCCAAATCCAAAAATTAAAATCGACAAACAAACACACCAAAGTGACAAAAATCATCACAGTCCATAGCGTCTAGATATATTTGTAAGCTTTTTAAATTTGTTTTGAACATAAGAAAAATATTTAGGGTGTCTTATTTTGGAGGATTTTTCCGGATTTTCACTATTCATCTAATTTTTTTTTAAAATATCAAATCAAACACTTATTTTTTTATTTTTATATTATACTAAAAATTAATTTTACATTCAAAATATCACAAAACATCTATTTATATCACATCATACAATTATTACAATTCAAAATTTTTACTATTTAAATCACAATTCAAAATCCAAACTCCCGAGCAAACACTCCCTAAGTATAAAATGAATGTTTGATATGATGTAATCCCTTCGTTTCAAAACTAGTCTTATTTGGATTGGACCCAAGATTGAAGTAATATTGATACTATATTGATATTTAGTAAAAACATATAAATAAAAGACTTTTTTGCTCATGTGGACGTATTAGTGTAAAAAGTAATGATATTTGTATAATAATAATAAAAAGGTAAGGATAATTTTATAGTGATGTAAATATTTATAGAAATGAGACTATTGTTTCAGGACGAACAAAAATGTTAATCAAAATTATTATATTGAGACGGAGAGAGTATATATTTAATAATGTAAAATCATTTCTGATGTATATTTATAAGAAAAAAGATTTTAATAAATTATAAGAAAATAAGTAAATATAGCCTTAGGATTATTAGTATTATTATTCTTATTATTTTGGAATGAAGTATTTGTTTTGCTTAATTATATAATTTAATTATAAAAAAATAGTATAATTGAACTTTCCAATCTTTTTTTTTTCTTTTTTTTTTTTTTTTTTAAATATATTTTCAAATTCGCTTAATTTGTAAAAAAAAAAAAAAAAAAAGAAGTATACATTCAAAATTCATTTTTTATACTATTAATTTAGGGGTTAGTTTTGACAATAAAAAAGTAAGAAAAATAATTGATGTGATATATATATATATATTGTATATAATATTTTGAATATAATCTATTTAAATTATAAAAAAATTTGGTGAATAATGTGAAAATATTTTTGAAAAAATAAATAACTAGAATGTTGCCACTAAATTTGATTTGTTTTTTGAACTAAAATGTATTAGACAAATCTAACATGCCCAATATTATATATAGATATAATAAGGATGTGATTTTTGTGTGTGTGTGTGTTTTAAAATTAAGAAAAAAAAAATTAAGGTGAAATAATTGTTAAATATCATGATTTAAATAAAAAAAAAATGAAATTGCATTAAAAATATCCAAAGCAAACAAACCATAAATTATTTTTTGGATTTGTTTCTTTTATATATATTTTTACTATTTAATCTTATAATGAAAATTTACTGCTTCTTAATAGAAAATATTAAATTAAATAATTAGAATCGGATCCGAACCAACAAAATTTATTATATTGTTCAATCATAACAACATTATTGATTTATACCATATATAAGAATCGAATTTGATTCTTTCAAAATGCTACCGATCAACAACAACCATTAAATAAATATTATTCTTATGTCCTCTCTCTCTCTCTCTCTCTGTCTCTCTCTCTCTCTCTATATATATATATATATATAATATATACACATAGAGCTGTTAAACGAAAAGTCGGCTCGGTTCGGCTCGATTCGACTTGGTTAAAGCTTGTTCGCGAACGTTAACGAGTCTAGCCGAGCCGAACAATATAAACAAACTCGTTTGGTTAACGAACGAGCCCGGACTTTGTTCGCGAACGTTCGTTTAAATAATATATTTATTATAAATATTATATATACATATAAAATTATAAATTATAAATAAATAAAATATTAATTTAAAATATATAAATAAAATAATTTTAAATTTTCTTAATAATTTATATATAAATTTTAAAAAATAAGACAAATTAGCTCGAACGAACTCGAACGAGCTTAATCGAGTCTAAACGAGCCGAACACGAACACGAGCTCAAACAACAAAAATTCTTAACGAGCCGAGCTCGAACACTACGAACGAGCTCAAAAGCTTAACGAACGAACACGAACCTTGTTCGCGAATGCTAACGAACACTTAAAATTTGACTCGGCTCGACTCGACTCGGATCGTTAACAGCTCTATATATATATATATATGTGAAACTATGATTTTAATTTGTAGAACATATATCTCTTATTATAGAGTCTCATTTGTTTACTTGTCAGGTTTTACACTTGATTTTACTATTTTAACTTTTTTTTTCTTCAAATATATCAAATCAAACACCCAATTTTTATTTATTTTATTACACTAAAATCTAATTTTACGTTCAAAACATCACATCAACACATTTATATCACATCAAACAATTATTTCAATTCAAAATTTTACTATTCAAAATCAAAACAAAAAATTATAACCTCACAAGTAAACATAATTTTTGAAAACTTTGAAATTTAAGAAAATTTGAAAAATAATTAAAAATTAATATAATTGATGTGATCTTTTATAAGAATAATTAAATATTTCATATAATATTTATATCTTTTTTTAAATAAAGACCTTTTAAATTGATTCCATATTTCGTTTCTATTGGACTTTTTAAATATAATTGTATAATTTTGTTAATAGTATCTTAATAAATGATATTTTGAATAGTAAAATTAGAAAGTATGTATGCCAATAAATAATTACGCCCACAAGTTCCTATCATTTTAGGTTTTTTTTTTTTTTTTTTTTTATCTGTTTGTTAAATTTATCTAATTACTTATTAAAGTAAAAAAATTCAGTATTTAATTATTACATTCTATTCACCACTAATTTACTATAATTGTCGGTATAGGTGTTTGAAATTATCAAATTTCGATTTACCGATCGAATTTGAATTAAATTCGAAAATTCAAATTCGGTAATTTGGTGATTCTGATGATATTCAGATATGCCGAATTCAATATTTTCAAAATTTATTTGAATTTAATTTTACCATTTTTTAATTCGGATTTATCGATTCTGAATTCAAATAATTATTTTATTTAATATTATATATACATATATTTTATTTTTCAAAAAATTATTTTATGTAATACTAAATTACCAAACTTAAAAAATTTATAATTTTATATAATTTTATTTAATTCATATTTAATTATATTAGTATAATATTTTAAATAAATTAATAAATTTGAATCATCATAATTCAAATTTATTATGTTTATATTGAATTCGGTCAATTCGATAATTACTGAATTCAAATTAAGTTTGAATTGAAAAACTGAAATTGAATTTGGTCGGAATTTTATTTTATTTTTTTTTATAAATTTCCGAAAAAATCGAATTCAAATATCCGAATTACCAATTTCGATTTCGATTGACATTCTTATTGTCACTATATTTATTGCATTCTTTCTTCATTCCACTTAATTACTAATTATATTTTCAAAAAATATTCTCAATTACTTATTTTACTTATTTTATTTTTTTAATATAATATTATTTTTGCAATCTACGTCTCAACTCCAATATGGTCTAATTTTTGCGGAAAAAAGAAATATAAAATTATAATATACCAAATTAAAATTTTTAATATAATATTCATTTTTTGAATTTATGTGCCCAGCTCAATGGAGGCTAATTTTTGTGAACAAATGAGTATAAAATTAAAACATACCAAATAAAAAATAATAACAAAAGATTTTGATGGCATGAATGTATTGTAGTCCATCAATTTGTAGGGTGTGTTTGGTTTGTAGTTTTTTTTTTTTTTGAATAGTGATTGGCATGTAATTTTTGGTGAGAAGAAATAGTAATATATATTTATAGAAATTATAAAAATTGAATAGTAAAATTTCGGCCAAAAAATTGCGAAAAAAACCCTATTATTTATTATTATTATTGAAATCAAGAGATAAAGGAGAAGGACGAGTTAAGGAATAGATGTCAATTAAGAAAATAGGAAATTACATATGCATAATTTATTAATTTTACCGAATAATTGAACTTTGTATTATTAAAATGGCTCACAAAATCAAAAATTAGTGCATATAATTATTAAAAAAATGTATGTTTTACATGTATATTGTCATTAGTATAAATGTAAGCTATAATAATTCAAATTTTTAAGATTGTTACATATGTTAAAACTACATGTAAAATTTACATAAAAAAAAAAAAAAAGAAAAAAAAGAGTAGTGATGTATTGTTACTTACACACAATATGCAATTTAATTATTAAATAATTAATTAATGTTATATGCATGTATTATTTGATTCAGGCAGCACTTCCACAGTCGATCACCTCATTTATCTTCGCCAAAGAATATGGACTGCATGCAGATGTTCTCAGCACAGCGTGAGTACTTATTATTATTATTATTATTATTAAATATCTGGAGAATTAATATGTACTTCATTCTTTATACATAATTTGATCATATTTTTTATTTTCGTCTGTCTCACATAATTTATTTATTTTGTTTTTTGGAAAATAATTATATATTTTTATAGTATCTTAAATTTCTTAATTTATAATATTTTTAATGATAATTAAATTAATTAATTATTTTAATCTTAATTTATAATTATATGTATCATACAATAGTTATTTTTACTTATATATTTTTTTAATTATTTACTAATTATATAATTGTTTAGATTAAATTTCCGTATCTACATAAAACCGGATAACTAAGATGGAACAGAGGGAGTATAATTATGTATTGGTTTTATTTTTTTTAGTTTGAGCTTTTATCGACGTTAAGTATAAAAAAATGTGTCGTTGACAAAAAAATTATATTTTGCATTGAATAATTAATTTTTAATAGACAATATATATTATACTTTATGTGAATATATATATATATATATATTATTGTTTATAATATTAATTGATAAGTGTGTCAAAATTTGTTTGTTGGAAGAACACAATGTTTTACTTATTACATTTAATTATTAGGATTCTTTAATTATGTTACTTTTTTTTTTTTTTTGAAAAATAAAAAACATTTTTGTTGTTTTGGATTGTTAAAAACATAAAAAAAAAAAAAAAAAATTGAGTGAAAAATATATGTTGCATCTTATAGATATAGACATCGAATGTAATGTTTTTTTATTTGTATTATAAATAACTTTTCAATATAATTTTCTTTTAAAAAATATATAATTTTCTTTTAAAAAATAAACTGTGGGTTTTGAAGGTGATGCTTTTTAATAATATATATTTTCTTATGAATACTATAAAAACAATAATACTTCCTCCGTCCCGTAGAAAGATTGTTATTTACTTTTTTTCACGTAAAATTTTTAATATTTAGTATTATATTAAGTTGTAGTGAAAACATAAAAAATGGGTACAGTGTACTTAGATATCTTTTGAATTATTTCAATGATAAAAAAAAAAAAATTAATATTATGATTATTTTAATTCAATGAGATTTTTTTAATACTTCTTCCGTCCAATAAAGAAATATCCATTTGCTTTTTGCACGTAGTTTTAGAAATATTAGTATTATATTGGGATATAATAGGAATAAAGTATAAATAACTAAAATAACTTTATTAGTATGTGTGATATAAAAATAATGACATTTGCGCAATATATTGTAAGTTGTAAGGGTATTTGTAATGTTAGGTAGATAGTACAGTTACTAAAAAAAAAAGGAAATGGATACTTTGTTATTGGACGGAATAAAATGGAAAAATAGATACTTTGTTATGTAACGGAAAGAGTATAACATTTTGAATTCAAATAATGTATAATTTTTTTATTTTTTCAGGGTTATCTTCGGCATGTTCGTGTCCCTCCCTGTGCTAGTAGGTTATTATGCAATTCTGGAATTTGTTCACTAATTGATACTCCCTCCATTGTGGAATTAGTCCATTTTCTTTTGGATACACAACATAAGAAATATTGTATTAGATAGTTAATTAGTTTGATTAATGAATGTAATAAAGTATTATATTAAATATTTTTTATTTGATAAAATGTAAATTGAAAGTTAAAATATTTTTTATTTTAACTTTTAAATATTGAATTTTTTATTTACTGAAATTATTTAAAAATAATAATAATTGTATTTATTGTAAATCAATACATGCATTTAGATGATAATAATAATAATAATAATAATAATAATAATAATAATAATAATAACTTAAATGTAATTTATACAATAATAAATGTAATAACAAAAATTTTATATAAGCAGTACATAAATTTTTTCAAATTTGGTTGTTAGAAATAGTTCGTTATGACATACCAACTTTAATATCACATCGTATATGGTACCAACATCTTTTGTATAATATTTTACCGTACCAATACCGTACAAATATTTTGGTATACCTAATTTGTGAATAAAAAATAATGAATTGCAGAAGTAACATGCATACTCGTAAAAAAAATACCTAAAATTTTCAAAATTTCAAAATTTCGGTACGATATGAATTATTTTGTATGATAATGATATACAGTTAAATATTTTCAGTATATATAGATAATGAAAAAAAAAAAATCGGTATTGTTGTATATATTGATTATTCGATACAATATCGATATCATTTTTTAATAAACAAAAAAATTTGGTTTGTTATACAATATATTTCGATATTTTTGGTATATTGTCTCAAACCATCTCTAACTGATCAACTGTATACACGGTATTAGAATATAATATTTTACGTTAAAATACCAAAATTAAAAATAAGTTTGTAATTTTGCATGATAAATAGGTTCTATTTTATATATTTTTGAACATAAAAAAAATCAATATCAAATCTCATTTTTAATTAATTTTTCAGCCATAAAATTCCAAACCAAACATCATTATTTATTATATATTACATTAAAATTTAATTTAAAAAAATTAAAATTTAATGAATATTTATTTATATCATATTAAATATTTATTTTATTTTTATTATTCAAAATTTTAGCCAACTTCTAAATTTACAAATAACAAATAATGAAACTAAAGATATTAGTAAGTTAAAATATAGTTAAGTTTTTTAATTTGAAATATTAGTTATTAATTATTATTATAATAGGAAGGTGGACTAATTTCTTGGAACGGATAAAAAAAAAAATTAACTAATTTCGTGGGATGGAGGAAATAGTATTTAAAAAAAAATTAATAAAAAAATGAAAAATCATATTGCCTATATATATATAGATATGATATACATATATGATTGTTGGGTGCGAGAGTAAAGTCGCTCCCAAAATATTTCAACAACAATGAACAAACAAAGGGTTTGTTTATATTTGAAATTTATATGAGGTATAGAGAATTATGTAAATAATATAAAAAATAATATTTTTATTTTGAATGTAGAATGTTGTGAGATAATAAAATAATATAATATTATATATATTGAAAATTGTGTCGAAAAAAATATTAATCGAAATAACAAACTTGTTGTGAAATTATATACGAATCGAACACTTGTAATTTACTCAAAGACATTCAGCAATTAAACGAACCTAAAGAATCTTTTATTATATCGAAATCAAAGATGCTCGGACTTAGTTATACCCAAATATATCAACCGAACCAACGCAAACACTCAACCTCGACCCAAACCACAAACGACATCCACGGAAACACACAATCACGCTAACCAAACCACAATCTATGGAAACACTAACATTCTAGGTCTAATTGCATCACGAACAATCAATATACACCGCGAATAACCAAAACAGACCCGAATCAAGAAAGAAAACCGATGGAAAGCTTTAGAACACATCGAATGTCAAAGCGCACTATCGAAGCTCAAGATTCGCCGGTTAGATCACCGGAAAGCACACCAGGAAGATCGATCGAAGAGCGCCGTCGCGAGGGTAGGGTTTTTAGAGAGAGACAGATCGCAATGAGAGGAACAGACTGAACCCGGTTCAAGAGAAGAGCCAATATATATATATAAGGCTTAAGCTCATATCCAACGGCCCAGATCAATTCCCTCAATCCAACGGCTACTTTCACATCTCAACATAATCGGGGTCAGGTCGCGGGTACTTGATCCGGGTTTCGGATGGGCGGGTCGGATTGGAGTGTTCCGGTCCTCCAATTGTCACAGGCCCAAAATCATCACAAATCTCCACCTTTTTGGGCTGGAGACTATACCAAATACGGGTGTCATCACAGTCCGAGCATTCAATGATTTCAGTCTTTTAACCTGCGGACTCATTAACGTGATTAGTATTCACAAATTTTAATCACAAAAAAAAAAAGAAGTTTACAGCAGTAACATAAAAGAAAAAGAAAAACAGTGTGTTTGGTAACTTAAAACACAGAATTTTAAGTTCTACAGTTTTTACAAAATTCTAATCAAAAGTATCGATATACATTGTTTTCTTACACAAATTGAATTTTGTTACCGACAAAACCTTTGTTCCCATATCCGTAAGGTTGTATTCGGAAGGAATTTTTTCAAGTTTTAAAAGACCTTTAGACACAACATCTCGAATAAAATGATATCTAACATCTATGTGTTTGGTGCGATCATGAAAAACTAGATTTTTACAAAGTTGAATCCCCGATTGACTATCCGAAAACACTGTTACTTCATTGTTCAAGTATTTTAGTTCATTTAAAAGTCCTTTTAGCCATAGTGCTTCTTTTAAAGCTTCGGTAATTGCAACATATTCCGACTCCGTCATAGAAAGAGCCACAATATGTTGTAATTGCGACTTCCAACTAATGCAAGAACCACATAAAGTAAACAAGTAAGATGTAGTAGACTTCCTAGTATCCCTATCGTTCACATAATTTGAATCAACATAGCCAATCAAGTTAATATCATGCACATGTCTACCAAACACCAGACCTATGTCTAAAGTACCCACCAAATACCTAAAAATACACTTAAGAGCATTCCAATGTTCTACACCCGGGTTAGCCATGTATTGACTTAAACAACTAATAGCATATGCTAAATCAGGTCTACTACACAACATCAAATACATGATAGAGCCTATGGCATTAGAGTAAGGAATATTCTTCATATAAACCACATCATTTTCAGATTTAGGGCATTGCTCTTTTGACAAAATGAAGTTAGATGCGAGAGGGACATATGAGGGTTTTGCATCACACATAGAAACTTTTTTCAGAGTTTTTCTAATATAAATGGACTGATTTAAAACAAGTTTTCTTTCCTATTTCTCACTATATTCATGCAAAGAATTACTTTTGTATCCCCTAAATATTTCATATCAAATTTCTTGCTTAAGCAATCTTTCACATGATTTATTGTTTCCAAACTATGACCCATTAACAACACATCATCAACATATAACAGCAAGAAAACCGGATGCTTACATGCTGTTTTAAAATACAAACAATAGTCAAATTTACTTCTAGTGAATTCCAAAGATTTCATACATTCATCAAATTTAAGATTCCATTGTTTAGGAGATTGTTTTAACCCATAAAGTGATTTCTTTAAAAGACAAACATGATTTATTTTATTTTTATCAAGATAATCCTTCGGTTGTCTCATATATATCTTTTCAAACAAATCACCATGTAAAAATGATGTTTTTACATCTAATTGTTTCAACTCCCAATTAAAATAAGCAACCAAAGCAAGCATGACATGTATAGTGGTATATTTAACAACAGGAACAAAAATCTCATTGTAATCTATCTCCTCTTTTTTAGTATAACATTTTGCAACTAATCTTGCCTTAAACCTAACTCCATTTTCATATTGTTTTACCTTGTAAAGACATTTACAATCAACTATAAACCCATTAGGCAACCTAGGAACTAACTCCCACGTGTTATTGTCCCTTAAAGACTTAATCTCTTCATTAATTGCCTTAACCCATTCCTTTTATGTTTTGATTACATTGTCTCATTATATGACTTTGGTTCATTTCCATCTAATGACTCAAACACATTATAAGGAAATTGATCAATATCAAAATCATTAAACCTAGGGGGCTGTCTAATATTCCTTCTACTTCTATCCCTAGCAAGTTGATAATTTTCTAGATTTTGATTATCGATTTCAGCATTTTCAGAATCAATTTCAACATTTTCATAATCAATTTCAAACATTTTCAGAATCTGAATTACCATCCAGATTCTGCCTTTCAGGATCAGTCCCCATGGACTGATCTAAAAATTCAGAAACAGTCTGCTCACCCACTCCAGGTTCATTACTATTTAGTTCATAGCGATGATGCTCCACCTTATTTTAAGTGTTGCTAGGAGCACTATTAATAACAACTTCCTCATTTAAGGACTGTTTTGTTGTTAAACAAGGCATGTCATGTTCATTGAATATAACATCCCTACTTACAAAAGTTTTAAAACCTGGTTTAGAAGTTACCCATAGCCTATATCCCTCAACTCCATCGGGATAACCTAGAAATACACATTTCTGAGCTCTAGGCTCTAACTTGTCATTGAAAACACGCAAAAAGACTGAACAACCAAACAATGAGTTCCCAAGATATCAAAGGTTTCAAAAATCCAGTGAATAGAAAAACAAGCCCTACAGCTCTGACACCAATTGTTTTGAAATTATATACGAATCGAACACTTGTAATTCACTCAAAGACATTCAGAAATTAAACGAACCTAAAGAATCTTTTATTATATCGAAATCAAAGATGCTCGGACTCAGTTATACCCGAATATATCAACCGAACCAACGCAAACACTCAACCTCGACCCAAACCACAAACGACATCCACGGAAACTCACAATCACGCTAACCAAACCACAATCTATGGAAATGCTAATATTCTAGGTCTAATTTCATCACGGACAATCAATATACACCGCGAACAACCAAAACAGACTCGAATCAAGAAAGAAAACCGATGGAAAGCTTTAGAACATGTTGAACGTCAAAGTGCACTATCGAAGCTCAAGATTCGCCGGTCAGTTCACCGGAAAGCACACCAGGAAGATCGATCGAAGAGCGCCGTCATGAGGGTAGGGTTTTTAGAGAGAGACAGATTGCGATGAGC